CCTAAGGTATTAAAAGCTTGTGAGCGGCCATCCAAGGGACAACTGATTTCTATTCACCTGGAGCAGCAAAGGAAGAAGGAAGGTCAAGAATCTGAGGAGGAAATTGAATGCGTGTCTAAATGTCTAATCACTTCCATGAACAACCCACTTCCTTTGCCATGAGACAGAAGAATTGGATGGTACCTGGCTACCATCATGTAAATTTTGATCCAAGATTCTATAGAAAGTTTTGATCAAAAGGGGTAAAATTGTGGGCTAGAATTTAAAATATTAATAAAATCTAGACTTTCTGAAACCATTGAGGTTGGATATCCCCTGGAACTATTGTCCTGAGGAAATCTTTAAACTTCAAACCTTAAACAGAAACTATCTCCTGAAGTCACGTTTAAACCAAACAATAAACTCTCACTGCTGCACTGCCGTCAAGTCAATCCAAAGCGGTCCTTCCTTAGGTTTCCGAGGCAGTATGTATCTCTACGGAAATAGATTTCCCAATCTTCCTTCCCAGGAGTGGCTGGTGGGTTTGAACTGCCAGCCTTCTGGTTAGCAGTCCAATGCCTTAGGCACTTCACCTAAATTAGCAAAAATGTTTGCCTTCAACATTATGCTCTTTTAAATAAGTGTCTATATGTGATCAAACAAACAACAACAACTCAAATGGTTAGGTGAGAGTTAGGAAGGCAGTAAGCATATGTTAAATATGGTAAAATAATCTGAAAAAGGATATTGAGAAAAGTGGCACAACTTGAAGAATGTAACTGAATTCACTGAACTATGCATGTAGAATACCCAAAGAAATGTTTGAATTTTAAGTATTTCCACCTAAATAAAAAAGATTAATAGCTAAGAAAACCTTAGGAAGCAATGCTAGTCTGTACCACATGAAGTCACTATGAGTCAGAATCAACTTAACTGCAACTAACAAAAATATCAAATAAACACTGATAGCAACCCCTATAGGGTTTCTGAGGCTGTAAATCTTTACAAAAGTAGATTTCCTTCTGCAGAGAAGCTGGTGGGTTTGAATCACTGGCCTTCTAGTTACCAGTCAAGACCCTTATCCACTACTCTACCAGAGTTCCTTCAGAAGATATTTAGCTATAGTACCTAAGGCACTTGACTGCTAACCAGAAGGCTGGCGGTTCAAACCCACCAGCCACTCCTGAGAAGGAAGATTGGGCAATCTAATTCTGTAGAGATACCGCCTCGGAAACGCAAGGAGGGGGTCGCTATGAGTCAGATCTGACTCGACGACAGTGAGTTTGGTTATTTTGCTTTCAGTCCTCTCCTGGAAAGTGTCTGATTCTGTAACACAAGCTCTCATTGTTTGTTCAGATTGGAGGCAGATACAAAGTGATGGTAGCATCGGAAAAGGAAAGCAAGGGATTTCTAGATCATCTGCGCCAGCAGCTGGAAGCTGTGTCCTATTTCCTCCTCGTTACCTTTTCTATTGGAGGCAACTGATCCCTAAACAAAAGGCATGGATTTGTACATATAGTTTCATTTTTCCCCAAGGCAGAAATGTGAATATCTTTAAGGAAAACAATGTAGTGACTTTTTTTGGCATATTTCACTGTATCAGTCAGAGTCTAGGCAGGAAACAGAAGTCACATTCAAAACAGTTTAACTGAAATAAATGTATGGAAGGGACCATTTACAGAGGTGTGGGCAGGGTTAAGAGAACTAACAATAGTAGGAAGTTATTACCAGCCACTCCTCGGAAGGAAGGTTGGGCAATCCTACTTCCGTAGTGATACTGCCTTGGAAACCCAAGGAGGGGTCGCTATGAGTCGGGGCCAACTCGAGGGCACATAACAACAACAACAACAACATTACTACTGTAGGCCTGAAGGAGCATTGTAAGGGAATGGTAGAGACCCATGAGAATTGGATCCACGGAAAAAAGACAGGGCTTTTAGTTATAGAGGAATCAAACTATAGCTAAAATTTTGGCCTAGCGTAAGGACCAGGGGATGTAATACATTCCTTTGATCCTTTGCCCGTGCAATGGAAGCATTGGTTGAATCCCAACCAGAGCTCAGAGGGCAGAGGGCCCTTGTGATTTATAGATGTCAGCCTTCCAGGGCAGAGTACGACAGAAAAGTGGAGACAATATATTTAAGGAGGGAAATAAAATACTTCCAATTTTAATATTCTCTAATCAAAACCAAGGGAGCTCTGATATTGTAGTGCCTAAGGCACTTGACTGCTAACCAGAAGGCTGGTGGTTCAAACCCACCAGTCACTCCTCGGAAGGAAGTTTGGGCAATCTACTTCCATAGTGATAACTGCCTCGGAAACCCAAAGGAGGGGTCACTATGAGTTGGGTCTGACTCCATGGCACATAACAACAACAATAACAAATCAAAACCAAACTCACAGGCACAGTCGATCCCGACTCATAAGGACCCCCATAGGATTTCCAAGGCTATAAATCTTTACGGAAGTAGATTGCCTCATCTTCCTTCTGAGGAGCAGCTGGTGGGTTTGTACTTCTGATCTTCTGGTTAGCAATGCCTTATCCACTACACCATCACAGGTCCCTAATATTCTCTATGACCACTAAAAACCTAGACCAAACCCACTGTTGTCGATTCTGATTCATAGCGACCCTGTAGGACAGAGTAGAACTCTCCAATGGGGTTTCTAAGGCTGTAATCTTTACAGAAGCAGACTGCCATAGTTTTTTCTCCTGGAGTGGATGGTGGGTTTGAACCTCCAACCTTTTGGTTAGTAACTGAGCACTTTTAATCACTGTACCGTCAGGGCTTCTCTCTATAATGACAGGAAGTTTAAAAAATCACTAGGTGGCAGGACAATTAAAAATTCCCATCAAACTACCTATATGATATTACTTACTATTCACACACAACTCACTGAGTGTTCTCTTTGCTTAGAATAACCCACTGCCATAGAGTCAATTCTGACTCATAACTACCCTGTAGGACACAGTAGAACTGCCCCATAGGTTTTCCAAGGCTGTAAATCTTTAAAGAAACAGACTGCTTCATCTTTCTCCCACAGCCCAATGATTTAACTGCAGCGTGACCAGGGCTCTGCTTACCATAGTGGTTAGCAATTTATTTTTGGTAATAGGTGAGATAGTAAATATTTTAGGCTTTGAGACTGAGAGACAATATTAAAATTAATTATGTTGGACTTACACAGCCAATTTAAAATATAACCATTTAAAAAACGTTAAAAGCAGTAATTCAAACTCAGTGGCCTGGATTTGGCTATAGCTTGCCAACTCCTTATCCACTGCTTATCTACTCTTAATCCACCAGTCTAAAATGTTTTCTCCTAAATATTTGCTAGCCTAAAGTCTACCTATTTTTCAATGTCAAGTTAAACTTCTTTTATGTGGTTTTAGGACTCTTTGAGCTGTGAGTGACAGAAACTTAACTTTTACTAGCTTAAGGAAAATAGAGGATAAATTGAATGTATGCTAGGGGAATCCAGAATCCAGCAGGGACCACAGAGATATTCTTATTTGCTATTATAGGAAAATCAGCATACAGCTCTTCAGACCTGTTTCTCCTCTCCTTACTCCTCCCTTTAGGGTTCCCTTTATTGTGTACTAATGAGGGCAGGTGTTTCCCACAGGAAATAGAATATATATCTGTCCCTTCTTTGTGTAGTAATCCTGGGGAAATATTCTACTTAGCCTGTTTTGGTCTCACACTTATCCCTTAGATGAATGTGTGTGTGTGTGTGTGTGTGTGTGTGTGTGTGTAAGTGAGAGAGAGAGAGAGAGCAGAGAAAGTGATAATAATGAGGGGACCTTCTGTGACTGCTCAAGCTTGGGATAGGAGCCCACCTCTGAGGAGGAGGAAAGGGCAGTATTCTACAGAGAGGAGAGACGCTGTTGCCAGGAGATGTAGACAGGTGAGATTCCCTGTTTGGGAGACAGAAATGTCACAATTGCAGTCCAAAGCATGATATGCTGTAAGAAAGATTTGTCTGACACATGGTATTTTTTTTTCATCCCCTTGGAAACCCAATGAGGGTGGCTATCAATCTGAACCTACTGGATGGCAGTGAGTTTGGTTTTTGAGTTTCAGTATCTACAGGAAAAAGACCTGGGGTTCAACTTGAGTAAACATTACAGCAAAGCAACCTATGGGCCAGTATTACTGTCACACGGGGGTCGCCATGAATGGTAATCTACTCAGACATCTAACAACAAAACCATCAACAACAACAGTACCTAACATCACACTTGTTAGACATTCATCGTTTTTGATGAATGAATGGTTCAGTTCTCCCAGCGGCATGTGATCAATTCTTTTCTAAACTGGCCAGGAATTTTATCAGTTACTCTATCATTCTGTATGTCATATTACAGGTTTTTCATGCCCATATGTTATCTCTAATCGTGGGTGCAAAGAGAGAGTCTGAGACAATGTTAGACATTGTAAACGTGCTGCGGAAATCTCAATCCCAGAGCTAGAGCACAGAATGCTGATTACACCGCTGACAGTAACGAATATGTTCTGGGTGACCGTATGGCCTTTGTGTTGAGGCTTTTCAGGACACAAAGCCCCTACCGAAAGGCGGACCCTCCGGAGGAGAGGGAGTCAGGACCCAGGGGCGGGGGCCCACGAGGGCCCTAGTCTTAGGCGCGTCACTGAGCACAAAGGAGACAGAAGGAGGTGGCAGCCGGAGCCCGATCTTCGCTCACCAACCACTCTCAGTTGTGGTTACAGACCTGCAGCTCCCCTCTCCTCCCCTCCCCCACGCAGACCAGCCCGCCTTCCTTTCTGTCTCCTCTCTCCCGCCGTACCGGACCGCCCGGGTCCATTTCCGGGCTCCGGATATTTGGTATTGACCGGGACCAGAGGCGCGGGAGCAGGTGGCTGCGGCGGGGCAGCTGGGCCACCGGGCTCGTGCGCCGGAGGCTGTCTGCTGCCGCGTTTGTCGCCAGCTCTTTCCTGGCCGGCCCACTCCTCCCGGTTCGCGCGCGCTGTCGGCTCTATCTTGCGCCGCGTCGGGCGCTGCTGCTGCGCCCCGGGGTCCCGTTTGGTGCCCGCGGCGGCCGGGAAGCGGGCGGTGACCGGCAGCTAGGACCCCGGCCTAACATGGCTGAAGTCAGCATCGACCAGTCCAAGCTGCCTGGAGTCAAGGAAGGTAGGGGCCAGGCCGCGAGGCGCGAACGGGGCCGCGCCCCTCTCCCCAGGCTGTATTTTTTCATGGCAAAACCAAACCCCCTTTGCCGTCGAGTTGATTCCAGCTCATAGCGACCGTTTAGGACAGAACTTTCCCATAGGGTTTTCAAGGTTGTAAATCTTTACGGAAGCAGACTGCCTTATCATTTTCTCATTGAGTGGCTGGTGAGTTTGAACCTCCGGACCTTTCGGTTAGAAGCCAGTGCTTAACCACTGCGCCACCAGGGCTCCTTTCAGGGCAGGGGCGTCGCCTTTTCAGCCCCCACAGCCCTCGCGCGGTGCTTGCCTTGTGCTGGGCTGACGTGACAATGAAAGGAATTGGGTTTAGGGTCTGCTTTTGGAACCTTGGGGGCTAGTAAGTCACTTATGTACTGCTCCGCCCTTTCTGTGTAAGGGAAGGGAGGATAGCACTACCCTTAGCAAGTGGTTTTTTAAATGTTCTACTGAGTAGATAGTTAAGCACTTAGTGAACGCTAATACGTTGGGCAAAAGTGGCTTATTACTTACTGACTCTGAAAAATCAAGGCCCAGCCTCTCTGGCTTGAAGGGCTAGGAAGTGGGGAGGGGTTGACATTCAGTTCCTTGTGGAGCCTTTGTTTTGAAACTTGACTCTCCCTCCTTCTCTCCCTACTTTCCTAACGCGGACTGTGGTTGGCTGACTTCTCCCACCTTAGTCAAGGTTTAAAAGTTTAGCCTAGGCATTACTTTGAGTGGAACAGACAGGAAGCCACTACAAGCATTTTCTTACAAGACGCAGTGAGCAAGTGGAGCAGGGCACTGATAACCTTGATATTTAATGGTTCTGGTGCCCACAAAAATGAAGATTGATTAATACTGACATACCTTGGCCAACAGCAAGTGGCCTTTTGACTTCCCCTCCCTGATCTTCATCAGCTGCCCCAGGACCCAGATTTTTTTTTTTTTTTTTTTTGGTCTTTTTGAGACCTTGGGTGCTGGATCGCTTTAAACTTCCTCTGTCTTTTGCAATTCTCTGGCCCTATAAATCATAAACGTCCCAGAGTGCTGTCTGGGCTTGGAAAGGCTGCTTTTGTTGGGAATGTCATTTGTTTCAACTGAGTAATATAGCCTGAGGTGTCTTGGAAATGTGAAGTTGAAAATAAGAATTGTTGCTGTCTTGAAACTGTGTGATTCATTACCAACTTTATTTGACTCAAACTTTTTGGTGCTCTTGGCTAGTCCCCAAATCCAGAGAAAATTAGTGATGCTTCACTGTTTTCTTTCCCAGACTCCCAAACACAACAGATTGTTTTATGTAGAATCTTTGATGGGCCTGGGTCTGCTTTGTTGTTTCTGAAGGATGTTAGAGTTGAGGCCCTTGACCTGAACTGCAGTGTTTTTCCACCCTTTCTGTTTCTGACCTGGCATTGGTGAAGACTCATGCATGCACATGTAAATGTAGTTTCCATAGTACTGTCTAGACCAAGAATTCGGAAAACCAAACCAAAACTCAGACTGATTGTGGACAAGTCATTTACAACTCATAGCGACCCTGTAGAACAGAGAAGAACTGCCCACTAGGGTTTCCTGGCTGTAATACTTATGAAAGCTGATTACCACATCATTCTCCTGGGGGCCTGGTGAATTTGAACCACCAGCCTTTCAGATAGTAGCTGAGCAGAACATATCATCATTTTGAGTTTCCTGGTCTTAGAGATTATCTGATTGTCCCTTGCCTTTTGAGTATGAGTTTTTTTTTGTGTTGGGTAGGTCTCTAGAGAAAAAGTGATATTTCTGTTTAGCGCTTCCCTGGGGGTTGGTGATGAGTAGAATGAAAAAGGGAATTAGAAACCTTGTATGTAAAGTATGTGTTACATGAAAAAACAAAAACCTGAACTCCCTGCCATCGAGTTGATTTTGACTCATAGTGATCTCCAAAGTGGTAAATCTTTACAGAAGTAGATTGCCCCGTCTTCCTTCCTTGGAGCAGCTGGTGCATTTTAACTGCCAATCTTCTGGTTCACAGTCAGATGCCTTAGGCACTGTGCCACCAGAGCTCCTTATGTATCATTCAGTGCTGTGGTTTTACCCAGTTCCCTATCCATGTCCAAGAAATGCAAACCCACTTCTATCAACTCGATTCCAACTCATGTGGCCCCCATTGGGTTTCCAAGGCTGCAAATCTTCAGGGATGTAAATTTTTTCATCCTCCTCCTGTGGAGCAGCTGGTGGTTTTCAACTGCTGACTTGGTTAGCAGTCCAATGCCTTACCCACTACACCACTAGAGCTCCTTCTATCCATGGCAGTGACCTGAAAAAGCTTCAAATTCTTTTTTTTTGTGTGTGTGTGTACACATTTATATTGCTCATAACTCATTTAGTCTTCCTTACTAATACACAAATGATTTATTCTAGTATATTCTTTCTCAAGATGTTCTTCACACATTTAACATCTAAAAAATGGAAGATTTTTCCATTTCTGAACTCGTAACACACATTTGAATTGGCTCTCATATGCGTAATGTGTTTGGCATTCAAGTTAACATAATCTGTGTCTTCATTAAGTCAATTAAATAAATATTTATTGATTTTGAAAATTGTCAGATTGATCTAGAACATCATCGTCTTTGGAAGCACTTGCCTTTTTTATTTCCAAGATTGTCAAAGGAAGTGATGCATTATGCTAGAAACTTACTAATGGTGGTGAAGTTTTGGATCTGGGAAGTATTAACATCTAATAAGCACAGCTTCCTCTAATATAACTCTTAATTATGGTCCAGTTACTCCCTAACAAACTCTTTGGTCCCTACTTAAAAGGAATCAAGGCCAGTGCCCATAATCTGGGTAAAGCATCCAGAAACATTGAGATTATTCTTAATACTGAAAACCCAATTTAATTTGAGAATAATGTTTAGTGACTCATTTAATATTCTGGCACAGATTTTTTTCTTTTCTGGCACAGATTTTTAAACACTAGTTTTAAAAATCTCTGTCTCCTCTATTTCTCTGTTTAATCTAAATCTTTGATAAGTTTAATATGTAAATTTTTATTTGGGATCATTGGTAGACTCCAGTAGAGATCGAGAATGCAGTGAATCTGCCCTTCCAACTGCCGTTTCTTTAGGGGGTGGGAAACTCCATGACCTTTATTGTGAACATCTCAACAAAGGTCATGGGTAGCAGCTGACAACAGAAAAAGGGACTATTTGAAAGTTTTTCTTAGTTAAAATCCAATATGTGGTTACTTAGTTTTAAGGAGGAAAGACATTGATCATTTGGACAGACTTTTTTTGGGGGGGAGGGGTAGTGAGGAGGTATGACACCTTTAGAGAAGGCTCTAAAAATAGAGATTTATGAATTATATGTAGGGGAAGAGAGTTAGGTTAACTAAATGTCAATATACATCGTTATTTCTGGTTTAGTAGCATATTTGGAATATCTGCATACTTTTTGTGATGGAAAATACTGTCATCAGTGTATAGGAATAGTGTTTTTTCTCTTGAAACATTTAAGGTCCTATGCAAAAAAGATTGGAAGAAATCTGTAGGCATTTTTTATCAATAGATACCTAACTGAAATGCAGCATGTAAATTGTGAACGTTAGATAAAGGAATAGGCAAGTTCTAAACATTTTTGGAAAGTTCTTTAGTTCAGACCTTGGAATACACTTTTCTAAAAATAAGCACTTTTAGTCAGTTAACATCACTTAGATTTGGTCTATTTAACATTCTTTGCTGAATCTTCTTTCTGAAACAGCAATCAGAACTTACACTTTTCTTTCTGCTCACTCCAGTTAGTGTCCTATATCATCACTATTTAATTTGAATTACCCCCTTGTTACTATAAGCTTGCCCTACTTGCCTATCAAGAAGTTTCACAGTATCATGAAATTATGATCTGAGAACATTGTCCTATTCATCAAAGCCATTTCTGGGCTATTGTAAACGTTATCAACTCCTTTAGAGTCTTAAGCATTAGGGTTTTCCCCACTTTCAGCTACTTAGACTTATTTTTGTAGACTATACCAACCTTCCTAACCTTTCCCAGTGCCCTACTACTTTCTTTCTTTCCTTATAGCAGTTCCCCAAGTCTCGTTTTTCATTGTGTATTCTTACTGTTCTTCAGAGGGACAGTTCTGCCATCTCCAAAGTTGGGTAACTTTGTATGTATGTGTTTAACATCTGATATTAGTACACCTAGGATGACTTATTTCTTGAAGTACAGATAGCTGGCTAATCTGAGAGCAAATCCTTTTCTTTAGTGATAGATAAAATTTAATATGGTTTCAAAAATGTCTATAAAAGGAAGGAAACCTAGAAAGCAGTGATACATTTTTGGTCCATGACACCCCAGTGTTGACTTAATGATATTTAGAACTTTAAGGGGAAGATAGGGAGCTCTGGTAGTGTAGTGGATAAGGCATTTGGCTGCTAGTCAGGAAGTCAGTGATTCAAACCCACCAGCCGCTCAGCAGAAGGAAGATGGGGCAATCTACTTCTGTAAAGATTTACAGCCTTGGAAACCGAGTGGTGGTCTCTATGAGTTGGAATTGACGCGATGGCAGTGAATTTTTTTTAAGGGAAGATACACAAAATTATGACTGGTGCAGCAATAAATAAAATAAGCAGTCCCAGTGGCCTGCAGGTTATCATATACACACCAGGCCTCTAATGTGACACAGTGTTTGTGAGACGTATATTATTTAGTTCCAGGGCAAACCCACTTTCACCTTTATTCGAATTCTACAGTAGTTTGTTGTTTTGTTAAGATGATGTCTGAATCCTCTTAAACAGGAAGGTTTGTGTCTTATTTAAACCAAAGAAAACCAAATTCACTGCTGTGGAGAAGCTTCCAACGTAGCGACCCCTCCTTGGGTTTCCGAGGCAGTATCTCTACGGAAATAGAATGCCCAGCCTTCCTTCCGAGGAGTGGCTGGTGGGTTTGAATTGCCAGCCTTCTGGTTAGCAGTCAAATGCCATAATCTAGTTTCATGTCGTTTATATG